AAAAAAAAAGAAAAAAGCCTACACTCTTATACCTATGCACTTTTGCCCATAGCATCCAAGCAGTCTAAAATGACTACCTTTTTTGCCTTTCTGCTTTCCCAAATTTTACTTTTAAGCTCAAATACAACCCTCATCTGCTTTGTAAAGACTTCCCTAGTCACTCTATCCAAAACTATATTGTTCTTGTTTTAAATTCCTATATTGCTGTCTGTTTTACTTTAGTGATTACTTTATTATTACATTATATGTATTAGTGTTTTTTAATATTATTTTTAATTATTAATGTGTTTACATTTTATCTCCCTTACTAGATTGTAAAATCTTACAAGGTAAGAACCATATCCAAATCATCCCATCTCTGTAGAATCTAACACCATCTAAAAGACACACTCTCACTTGGAAATAGGGAAGTCTCTGAAGTTACTTGATATAATGCTACTTTCTGAAAAGAATGAAACTAGGAATTGCTCTATCATTAGTTGTTCTTGTCTTTCCTTCCTTCTTTTTTCTCTCCATCCTGTCCCCCCCCCCTTTTATTTTTTTACACTGCCCAAGGTGCTAGAAGGAATCAGCAACCAGCACAACTCTGCTATTGGCTGAAGTGTTTCTGGAGTCATTATTCTCGGGGCAAGAATATAAGAATGGAGTAGATAATTTATCTGCATGTTTTTTAAAAAAAATTTTTTTTTTCAAAGTTTATTTATTTTTGGGACAGAGAGAGACAGAGCATGAACGGGGGAGGGGCAGAGAGAGAGGGAGACACAGAATCGGAAACAGGCTCCAGGCTCTGAGCCATCAGCCCAGAGCCTGACGCGGGGCTCGAACTCACGGACCGTGAGATCGTGACCTGGCTGAAGTCGGACGCTTAACTGACTGCGCCACCCAGGCGCCCCTACCCTTATTTTTTAAATCAGAGGTGATAAGTGTGTTTTACTCTATATGTTTGATTTTTCACTATGACATTTTACCTTTATCTCCTTTAAGTCTGTATAGTAATTAGTTTGGACTTTGGTAGGCAGCTAGTCAAATCTTATGTACCCTGTGGATACACTCAGTAAGTGTCCAGTGGCTAGATGACATAGAACAAATTATAATACTTCAACAAACTAAATACTGTTTCTTCTGTGACCAATATTTTGGTGGCTGTTAAATACACATATCTTAAAATAAATGCAATAAATTTTAACATAAAAAGTCAAATGCAGTCTTCAAGATCTTTATAAAAAAAGGAAATCATAGTTATATTAGGAAGATTTCCAAAATATATTTAAAATTTCATGAGATTATAAAAAATTTTGGTGTGATTCATGACTAGGTAATAACTTTAAACACTGTAATACAGGGCACCTGAGTGGTTCAGTTGGTTGAGAGACCAACTTTGACTCAGGTCATGGTCCCATGGTTCATTGATTTGAGCCCCACGTTGGGCTCTGTGCTGACAGCTCAGAGCCCGGAGCCTGCTTCAGATTCTGTGTGTCCCTCTTTTTCTGTCCCTCCCATTTGCGCTTTGTTTCTCTCTCTCTCCAAAATAAATAAACATTAGAAAAAAATTTTTAATAAAAAAACTGTGATACATGATTAGTCTTACCTTTGTTTATGAAGTTTTCTAATTTTAGATTCATAATAATCAATTAGGCAAAGCAACCTAGAAAACAGAAGATAGACTTAATTTTCAAAATTTGGTATTGGAGCATTTACTACTATTGTCTCTATATAAGTTCAAATTACAATGATAAATGTACCACCAAGTTTGTTTAAAAATGTGATTTTTTTACCCGAAGCATTATATTAAGCCATATATTAAGCCATATATTTTATATTAATTTCAAAGTATAGGTTTTAAAATAACCACAAACTTCATATCTCGACATATTAAATGAATATTTTCCTTGTCCCAGCAGTTCTACCTTTAGCAACTGCTCCCACAGAAATATTTGCTTAAGCTTGGAACTCAAAATGAACAAAGCTATCCAATGCACCATTATTTACAAGAGTAAAAACCCAGAAATAATCTAACTGTTCTTCAATAAGGAAAAGTTAAATAATGACACATCTGCTCTATAGAAAACAATGAAGCACAGAAGAAATGATGTAAATTTGTATGTCCTAATAAAAATTGATAAGGAACAAAAGTAACGTTGCATAGCCAAATGTAGAGTATTACTCTATTTGTTTTAAAAAGAAATAATTTTAAGTGACGTTGTCTTTATCTTGAATAAGAACTCTGTGGGTTTTTGGTTTTTTTTTTTTTTTTTTTTTTTTTTTTTTTTTTTTTTTTTTTTTTTTTTTTGAGAGTACATATCGGGGAGGGGCACTGGGAGAGGGAGAAAGAGAATCCCAAGCAGGCACAGCGTAGAACCTGATTCAGGGCTTGATCTCATGACCTGAGCTGAAATTAAGAGTCAGTTGCTTAAACAACTGAACTACCCAGGTGCCCAACTCTATGGGTTCTTAAGTGGGGGATAATACCATAACCTAGGGAATGGTTCTAGTTGTCACGCTAACTAGTTGGGGAGAGGGAAGGATCTTAAAAGTTCATCAATGAACTGACAGCCCTACTACACAATGAACCAACCTCTGCAAAATGCCAATGGCACTCCTGTTGTTAAACCCTAGGAAGGACACAAACTAAAGTATTACAAGTGATTATCTCTGGAATGTGGGAATTAGGAGGGGTAAGCAGATACACAGTATTTTACTTTACACACTTTTATACGGTTTGAATTTTTATAAACGTGCTGCATTTGTAATTTTTAAAAACCCTTAAAAAAATAACAATGTTTTCACATTATTCTTTTTTTTTAATTTTTTTTTTTAACGTTTATTTATTTTTGAGACAGAGAGAGACAGAGCATGAACGGGGGAGGGTCAGAGAGAGGGAGACACAGAATCTGAAACAGGCTCCAGGCACTGAGCTGTCAGCACAGAGCCCGACGCGGGGCTCGAACTCACAGACTGCGAGATCATGACCTGCGCCGAAGTCGGCCGCTTAACCGACTGAGCCACCCAGGAGCCCCACATTATTCTTTTTAAAGCAAGAATTCATACTTTTTTTTCCATCTGAAGAAAATTACTCATCTCTTTTTTTCAGAGCTTATTCAACCAATTGTGCTTTTACTATACAACTTTCTGGGTTATTCTTGCTCTTCAATCTTTCTCCGTCTCAACACATACCAGCTTTCCTATTACCCTGCAAAAATGCTTTAATTTCTTTTATATCCTTCACAAACCCTCTCACCCCCTACTTCTCCCTTATGCCACCACTCCATCCCTCTTTTTCTTCATAGGAAAGTTCACTCATTCTGATTGTTACCAGATACCTTCAATAAACTTTTCAGGAAGACTTACTGTGTGTCAAACTGAGAATTCTGAGCAAGACAGTGAGAAGGCAAACACATAAAATGATTAGGCAGCATTTAACACTTCTTATCACCTCTCTTTCCTGAAATACTTTTTTTTCCTTAGTTACCCTGACGCCCAAAAGTAACTCCTCTTTTCCCTCTTCTTTCTTCCTCTATCTGATATCTGGAAGGTCTCTGGAGTTCGGCCCTTCTAATTGTAGGCCAAGTATCTCTACATGGCTGATGGAAGGTACCTAAACACAGGTCCACACAGGAATTCATCATCTTCCATCCCTCTTCCCCAAACCTAGCTTGAAATTGGGCTATTTTTGAATCCTCTCCTTCTTTCAGTATCTGCAGCCAGTTAGTCTTGACAATTCCTGTCCATCTTTGCCATAGTTCTCCTTTCTTTTGGCTCTAATGCAGGCCTTTGCAATCTCCAACCTAGACTACTACAGCTGATTAGTAACTTGTCTTTTTGTCTCTGGGTTTAATTTCTTTGATCAGAAATCCTGAGGGGGGGGGGGGTTGGTTCCTGCTATATAGTAAGCAGAACCCAAACTCTTCAGCCTGGAGTTTGAGTCCTTCACAAAGTTCCAGCACACCCTTCCATATTGTCTCTTAAGACACTTACCATCATCATTTTGTGCACTCTACGCTCCAGACCTCTTGGACTACTTGCTATTTTCAAATATATTCCGTTTTCCTGCCACCATGCTTCTCTAACTAAAATACCTTTCCTTCATCTCTACCTATTAAAATTCTATAGCTCCTAATAATCAAGTTTATAAGTTACCTCCTTCATGAAACCTTTTTGGTCATCCCCATCTTCCTCAAAGGAAACTAATCTCTTCTTCTATCATGCCCACTTAGTATCCTATTTGCCCCACCATTACAGCACAGACCACAATCTGCCTTCTATTTTCTATGTATGTTTCTACCTACCCAGCTAGATTATCAAGTCCACAGTGGCAGGAAACATGTTTTTACTCATCTGTGTATGTTCTATATTGTTTTGCCCAATGCCTTTGTAACTTTTAAAAATAGCCATAGTGGTTCCAACTCATGTATTACTAATAGGGTTAATTCACAATTTTTTAAGCTCTGTATCTCAAACTGAAAATTAGCTTTATTAAAAATCCAATAGAGAATTTCCAGGTCATCAAATTCACACCTGAATTAGCTTGACTTCGGATGGCACATAAATTCTCCCAATACTTCTCTTTCTCTTGCCCTCTTACTCACTCAAATTGGCTGGTTTCTGTTCTTGTCTTCATTCCCCTTCCTCCTTCATTCCTCTCTTATATGCCTCTTTCTGCCACTATAATCATCTCCCTTTCCTTCTTTTAGTTCTTCCTTACCCCTATTTTTCTTTCTTTGCTTCTCTCTTTTTTAAATTTATTCACACCTAGGAGAGCCTTGGTGGCTCAGTCGGTTGAGCATCTGACTCTTGATTTTGGCTCAGATTGTGATCCCAGGGTCATAGGACTGAGCCCCACATTGGGCACCATGAGCCTGCTTAAGATATTCTCTCTCTCTCTCTCTCTCTC